ATTTGATTTGATTTGATATAATTTACTTTGTGCCTTTCATCAAAATGAGAATTGTTGGACTTGCATCATAATGTAGGATACTTATTAGTTTTTTTTTAATAGGAATACTTATTAGTTAGTATAACTTAAATACTGCAAATTTCAATGTGTATTGCTTATCAACAAAAAAGAAACCAATGTGTTTTGTTTAGGATTAGGAGATTTTATCTTCTAGATTTATGTCACTGGCTGGCGTGCTGTTCTAGTGTAGTTTGATGTTGCTTTGATGTTGAGTAGCTGGAAAATGTGACCATTTTGAGGAAGGCTTTAGGTCAGGGTCACTGCTTGTATAGTTAGTGTTTAGAACCTTGGATGTAAGGTACTTTGCAAGTGAACTTGAAGGATTGTCTTGTGGAAGTATGGGATCTCTGCAGGGCTGCTTTTAATTTATGGCTACTTAAATTGGAAAATACTCAATAGCTTCACAGCAACCATGATAAAATGATATAATTAGAGCATTTGGAAATTCTTTTATAATGTCGGTGACCATAGAATTTGCATCTGCACAATTTTCAGCTAGTTGCATTAGGTTGTACAGGCTGCTTGCTGTTGGTTGTCGTCTTTCAGCAATTACTTATTGTAGTGTTTAGCCATTTTTGACTACAAATTCAATACAACTGTAGATAGAAAATTAAATGGAGCACGGTGGTCCATCAGATGTGAATTAGACGTGGCTTAATTGTTTTTCTTGCAAACTAACTGATAAATGACTAGCTCATTCCCCTTTCTTACCTGAGCTATCAATCCTGGCCCCACCTTTTTCCGCTTTCACTATTATCCTCCCAAAGGCGGCCCTCCTAGAGTTTTTGAACCTATTCTCAGCTTAAACTTACATGCTTTTTCTTTTTAGTCTTTGGGTGTTCATTTTGATCAGTGTTGCTTTGAAGCAGTAGTTTCTTTTTTACTCGCTTAGTAATTTGCAAATGATAATGTTTTGAGGAGTTCACCATTAAGCTTCTTTGCATTAGATTGTGATTGTACAGGTTGTTTGTCATCTTTCAATTATTAGTCAAAATAGTGCTTTCTCACAAATGATGACAAATTAGCATAGCTGTAGAGAGAAAGTAGAGGGGGGAACATAGTGGTCCATTAGATTGCTAACAAGACATGGATTTCCTGCTTTCCTGCGAGCTGACAGATAACTCATCTATTCATTTCTCTTTTCATTTGTGTGTAATATCGTTAGGAATAATTCTGACAATTTTCATGATCTTGCAATTCAACCTCTTAGTATGGAATTTATAATGAAAATCAAATACTTGGAGTGAAATTGCATGACCACTTACCATATACATTGGAATAGAATTTTGTCAGAAAATTACACTAACTCAATATCGTTATCACATCACTATACATCACCGCCAATCTTTAATTAGTCTAATACATTACATGCTCTTGATCTTAAACCATTTGGTGTTCGTGTTTATCCGAGTTGCCCTGATTATGTTTTGGCCAATTCTTTTCAGGTCTTAAATTTTGCTTTCTTGAATGGGGAGAGGATCTGTTGTAGCAACACCTTTGAGATGCTTTCCCTTGAGCCATCAGTATCTTGAAGCCGCTCAACCGGAGAATCAACTGCCAACAGCAAAATTACCCTGCTGGTATGTTGGTTCAGAAATGTCTTGAATTATACAATACCACGGCAATAAGAGCTAGCTTGACGCTCTTTGTTGTTAGAAGTGCTAGTTTTTTTCTGTACATAAATGGTAAAGAATGTGTTTGTACCATATCATATCAAGTAGCATGAATATTCGACAGGGTTGGGGCTATCGACCTTTGTTGATATGTAGTGGAATTCGAAAGTCCTTGGCTTAGCCTGTCTGCTCGATGTAGGGGTAGAAGAATTCAAATTTCCGTATGGCTTTCTATAAGATATGCTCAATCAGTGTTAGAATGATGCCTCAAGGCCTCAATAGTAAGCTTCGTTTTGGTTTCTTTATCTTTCTGTTCAATGCTCTCTTCTTTTGACCCTATTTTTCTGGTCATTTCAACACTTTTGACTAATATGTGAGAATCTCATGTTGAATGATATAGCTTATTTTATTACAAGTTGATATTTTTTGTAAGATGTTGAATGAAATCTCTTTTTAAAGTCGCATTAGTTTCACCAAATATAGCTATCAGTAGACTAATTTAATAATTTCAAACATACCCTACATTTGGATGTTTGTGTTTTGTCAATTACTATTGTTGTTTTTGTAGTTATCATCCTTAACTAATACGGAATAATCCGTAGTAGTTGATGTGAAAATTTAATTTTAATGATTTAATGATGCTTAACATCACTTTTATACATCCCAAATCAGGCCCTGTTTGATTGGGTGTAAAATGTTTTCAATGGAAAATGATTTTCCATGAAAAACCTTTTCCATTAGAAAATGTAATTTCCTTCACATTTTCTCTTGTTTGGTTATATGTAAAACAATTTTCCAATTTAAAGAAACTAAAACTAATATTAGGTGAGACAATCTATCAAACACTTTGTGCTCATGATAAAAACATGTAAATATATGAATGAAAATAAAATTTGCAGCTAGTAGATTGCATCTAATAACAAATTTCCAAATTATAATCATCTTTAGAAAATTTAATCATATCAGAAAAATAATTTTGAATTGATGAATTAACAATTTTTGTGCAAAAATACCTTGAAATAATCAAAATATGGGCAAAAAATACCCTAAAATAATCGAATTTTAAACCAAATTAGACCCTATATCAATAATCAAGTCAAGAAGGGAGAGAATATTACCAATTTGCAACAAGAGATCGAGCGAGGAGATCTATTTGAGTTTGAAGTGTAATGAGAACTGGAGAAGGGGAAAGATCGAAGGAGAGAGGAAAACACGGCTTCCCTTCTAATTTGGGGGAAAACAATTTCTTGTATAAAGGAAAATAGTACTCAGCCCAAATTTTTTTTTTCATATCTGGCCTAAACCAAACAATGTAAAATAAGGAAAACAGGACCTTAGTGTTAGAATAATGTTTCCAACCTTCCAGGTTTCTTTTAACTCTTATCATGTGTTTAGAATGTTTTAGCTCTTGATTGTGAAGTACCCTAATCATACTTAATATGCAATGATGTGGTTTTGTTTTCTTAAAAGTACCCTAATCATACTTAATATGCAATGATGTAGTTTTGTTTTCTTAAAGTAATTGTAAATTGATTTACTCTCCCTTTCGAACTAGTGATGTTTATTGTTTCCGAAAGTCTTTTCTTAAAGTAATTATAATTGTTTATTGTGAAAGTTATTTTCTTAACATTTCTCTATATATATTCGATGTTAAAAAGCAAAAACATCTTTTAGTATATTGGGCTAAGGTACTCGTAGTATGCTTAATAATAATATAATAATAAAGCTCTAAATAATTAAATTTTGAATTTCCCATACTAGACATATACGAAGTACTTGTAGTCGTAGATCTATATATTTCTTTCAAGTTAGGAAGAAGAAATGAGTATTAGAATTAAGATTTTTGTATAAAATGTTGAAAAATTGGTCCATAACATTTCTAACTTGTAGATCTATAGACTATAGTACATGTGAACCTAAATGAAAAGGTGTTACACAAGGATGGAAAGTGGGGCTAACAACTATAATGAGGTTGACATATATTTTTGGTTTTGATATGCCGAGCAGCCAAAAGGGTACTACTATAGTTTGGTGAGTTGATGACAACTGATGATAACAATAAGCCAACTACCCGTTGTCAAAAAAAAAAAAAAAAAACAAACAAAAGCCAACTACCCAATCTTTTAATTAATCATATAATTAATTTATAATTGATTGAATCATCATCACTAATCAATCAAATATAACGCTTTTATAAAGAATACCAATGCAAACAATCTGCTTTTAAATAATTTTCATATTATGAGAGAATACAGTGCCACCTGCCCTTAAGAAATTTTGTAAAGTATAATGTTTCATCTTTGATTAGTTCATGCATGAAGTATTTCATTATCTCCTTTATTTGCTATTAATTATAACTTGGTTCAAATGTGATGCTTCATCTTTATATTTGACTCTTGATCTATAGTAAGTACTAAGTAGTATCATTAATTTATTTTTTTAATTGGAAAATCGCGAAATCGATATAAAATGATGATTCTTAATCACCTATTAATTTTTCCTTACAGTTTATTTCTTCTACTCCGTAGTTTCTTAAAAGAAAATGTCAAGGCCAATAAGTAGAAATTAGGTTCACACCCACTTCTTATTGATTAGTTTTCACTCGTTAAAATTTTCCATACTTATTCTATTTTATTATTATTACATAGAAGAGTTTAATGTGAAATCTTGTAAGATATGATGTGTACACTCATATATTATCACTACTTATATGTTATATAGATTCCATAATACTACGAATGTATAATTTTCAAAGGTCTAGCTTTGAAACTATGATATGGAAGTGTGAAAATTATGATAATCTAAATTCTAGTGAGTGCTTGGACTTTTACATTAGCAGCATATTCAATCATTCACCAAAGTTAAGCAGCAAAGCAATTTGGGATATGATCATCAATAATTTTTCTTCTCACAGGAATCAAATTGAAGCCCATTTTGAAATATACATAGAGCATGGGCCTACTGACCTATTGAGATATCAGCCTTTGGACTATGTCATCACTAAACTGCTTAATACCATTACCCCTTTGCCTTACTTTGATAATTGGTCAACATCACTTGGATGTTACGGAGTACTTCATCCATTTCAAAATAATTAATATAGTTTAACCTATTCTTTATTCAAGTGCTCACTTTGACTACAGTTTTTTTAATTAACGTGTCAAAAATAAATGCTAATATCCATCGTAAAATGTTGTTAAATAGATGTTAATATAAAATTTCATACTCGTAAGTTTTAGTACTTAATTATACATTATTTAGGGTTTAAGTAGTGCGTTAAAAAGTAATTGCTAATGAAGTTACGCCTATTATGTTTGCAAGTTTGGAATATTCATTGATCTACATCAAGCAAGATATTCAATCTCTTCAATTAAAAAAATTTCCAAGGTTTCTTCTTTTACATTGTCAACACATACAAGAATATGCCATTGAGAAATTGGACTTTGTGAAAGTCCTTAAGAAATAGAAAATGAAAACCAAAGACTCGTATCAATGGATTGAACACTTTGTAAATATCAAGTGTCTTCAATTGATGGTGAAAGCAAGTCTTGCATTTCAAGCAGCCGTAATGGTCTTCATCATCAACATTTGTACATTGTAGGTGACGATACCAGGGATTGTAAAGAATAACGAATCGTGGAGTAGATATCAGCTAAAAACTAATCAGGAAAGTCTTCATCATGGTCTTCAAAGGACTTGCAAGAGTCATTCATGAAGATACATTGGTGATGTTGAAGTAGACAGTTTTCTGTTGGTAACTATTCATAGCATAATCAACTTGGAAGTGGCCAAATGGTGATTTGAAGCGTAAGCCATATCCTATCCCAACTCCACTTCCCGGTTTTCCTTGTCGCAAGGCTGGGTTTCCTGCCATATCCAACCAAGAAAGATGTAAATTGCCAGCAAAGTCTAAGTTTGCAGAGAAAAGTAATGCAGCTTCAAACAAAATCTTCGCTTATATCTATATATCAGCGAGCAAGCTCTGAAAAAGTATAGGTTAAATGCTCCAAGATAGATAGAACATACCAGGAACAAGCCGACCAGAACCCAAATCAGATCCATAATCTAAGAAAATTGCACCTTCTAACATTTTGCTCTGGAGATTAGAGAAAGGGAAAATTTTAAGGGCTACATAGAACATGCCAGCAACTCAAACACAAATCAAATTGTCAGAACATGCAATTATTCCGAGAGAGATAGAGAGGGAGGGGGGTGTTGGATTGGCATAAAACTATTCAGGAAGGTAAACCACAAGTAATTCTACCAAAAATATTTGAGAGCAAATTTTCTCCTAATATCAATACAAAATTAGGGCATATGGGAAAAAAACGCATAGAAAGATAAAAGCTGGCAGACACAGCATAGAAGAGGCTTAGATGTTTCCATGATTCCTTCATTGCAGAAAAAATGTAGGAACGCACCAGATAAAAGTTTGAAGCAAAAATAGTAAAAAGTCATGATAATAAATCATACACCCTTTTGCCACCAATTAAAAGTCCATGTAACATTGTATTAGGGAGGCTCTTTAAATGACGGCTCATATAATCAAGCTAATTGAATGTCAACTTTTTTTCTAACTCATAATTGGATGTTACTTAGGACTTTAGGAGTACTGGCTGATCTAGGATGATCCTGAACGTCATTAAGCTACATGAAATCAGACAGCAATTACAATATTCTGGAACTGTGGCACACATAAGGTCCAACCAAAGTACGAGAATGAAACGTAAAGCCTAAGGCCTTAAGCAGAAGAGGGGAAAAATAGGGGTCAAATTGCACTATATGACAAATTGACAAGAAATCATTCAGGTGACTTAATTGCAAAACTGCCAGCGAGTCAGCAACACGGTTTATAAAATAGCTATAGAAACACCTCATATGTTTTGCTAAGTGCGAAAGTAAATACTTACCAACGGGAACGTTAAATCACTGTTGGCAACCAAACATGATCTTCCAGTTCCAACAGCACCTTCACCGTACCCTCTAACACTACCAAGACCACCAATAGCAAATGCTTGGTAAGGAGCCATATCCCCCACAATGGAACCTCCCGTGATACTGTTGAGAATTTCATGTAATTAAAGATGAGAAAATAATATACAAGCATCTATACATGCATTCCGTGTTTCAGAAATGAACGCAAACTAAAACTTTAACAAACATGGGTGCAGAAATTATACTGTCCAACGTGATCAAGATTCTGATGATTCAAATTGTGGAAAGGAGTATTATGTAACTGCAATTGAGTACAGACTAGTCTAGCTCAACCTTTATCAGAATTCAGTAAATAATCCTATGTCAGACTGTCAGAGCAAATATCAGAATCACAACGATGTTAAAGATGTGTATTATGCGAAGAAGCTTAACACCAGCTCTAATGAAATGTTCTAGATTTAGAGGGGAGACGACACTAATCAGTAATAGAGGGATTGTTAGAGCTCGGTCACTAATTGACATTGCCAGTGTAGGACAAGAAACATGAACAGAGGATAACTGCAACAAAAAAAAGGAACAGGATTTAACTTTCATATTTATATTACGATTGCCAAAAGGAATTATATATATGCAAATATATGAATTCAAAGTTTACTTCAATTCTTTACACTCAAATAAGTTGATAAATCTCTAAAATCTAAATGATTAAATTGCATCCCTGAACTATGTCATTAAAATTCTTTCTTCAACCTCTGCAAACATAAATTACAACTCCAATAGTTCCTATATCTCGGTCTCTCCCTCACTTCCTCAGCTGATGAGAGCCGGTAGTTGAACTCTTCTTGTTCCCTCTTCTTATAAGAAATTCATATTCCTTTATCTCCGAGTTTCTAAGAGTTTCAGCAATAGCAACATATAAAAGTATCCCAGGTACATATGCTCACCTTGTCAATAAAATAGAAGGCCCAAGTTTGATACCCTTAGTGCCAACAAACTTGAATCGGTTAAAAACAAGCCATTTGGACAAAACTGGGATTCCTTGTTCTATCTGCAAGCTGAACTGAAATAAAAACAAGAACAATTAAGTAATATGCAGCAGAACCTCATATCTCATTTCCTTAAGTGATTTGTGGTAAGAAGTTCACATCTTATGTCATAAGTTGAGAATATTACACGACTAAAGAAATTATCATTTGCCCTGGCATAACGAGTTTCTTGTTTTAACACCACCATACTATCATGGGTGCCTCCGCTGCACACAGGACATTTTGAAGGGATAGGAAAAACAATTGTCAACATTAGTGCCTTGGAAAGCATACCACTAGACAAGTTTAAATACAAAATTAAGTGGATAATCTCAATAACCTGCAAGTCACCGGAAAACCATCAAGATCTCGGTTTATAGGGCGTCCTTCATCGCTCATAGGACGAACATGCTGCACGAGGTACACATTTGACAAAATTTTCAAATAAAAAATCGTACTTGATATCACAGATGACTCAATTTTTAATACCCAAAGCAAAAATTTCAATTTGTGGCATGATACCTCACCTCAAATTTTACACTGGTTGTACTGCTCCAGTTGGAACTAGCAGGCTCACTCAATTCTAAACCCACGGAGGAGCGACAGAGATTTACACCCCCACTCCCAGATTGTGAAAAGTTATCGGCGGGCAAACCATGAACTCCAATCTCAGGTGAAATAGAATGCTGATTTTCCAGAGAAATATTTGCATAAGAAATTCCACCCAACAAAATTGCTTAAATGGTCTAAAAATGCTGATTGCTGAACAGTATAATAGCCTAAAGAAACAAAAGTAATTCGCTACTCGAGAATTTTAAAATCGTCTTCCAACTCGAAAACTATGATAAGCAGTGATCAAACCTGAACCACAACAGACTGCTGAGGAAGCCATTCAGGCCTGGGCCTCCTATAAGCCACCACAACATTTGTGTCATACAATCCTTTATCCCAAAACACATCAAGCTTCTCACTTCCACCAAATAAATTAGGGTGCTTAATACATAAACTGCCATAAAAACACATATTCATTTCATAATCTTCCACAAATTTAAGCATATAATAATCAAAGCTTTTAACCTCCAACATTCCAAGTTTTATAATTTATTACCTCCCAATTACTAACGAAAGAGGACCTCCAGAATTCCTATTGCAGAAATTGAATAAAAATGCATATTAATAACATGATCAATTAATTAACAAGACTAAATTTTGTTGGTATTAATCTGAATTAAGAGATAAAGATGGAAACCTGAAAGGGGGCAGCATTAAAGCAGCGCATAGCTTGTGACTCAAATCTACATTGACATCAATTTTGGCTGACGAACAGCAAAATTATAGAATATAAGTACCGAATTGAAAATGCTGAATACCCAGTTCATAAATTATCCATATTAATTTAGCAAAATTAAATAAAAATAAAAAAATAAAAAATTGAGAATTGAAAGTGAAAAAGAACTGACCTTTACCAGCATGGATGCTCTTCTGAGCTCCCATGAATAATGTCCGACAACAATCATGAAAAAATTGGACCCGAAAATATTGAATTGAAGGCAAGCAATTGCGGTATAGAATTATAAAGGAGATGATAAAGAAAGAAGAGAGGTTGTGTTGGAGAGTTGGAGTAGTATATGGGTTAGAAGTTGTCTCTTTCTTTCTCCTTGGGGTTTCCAACTTCTTGAATTGTACTTTCTCTATTTTATTTTCTAAAATTTCAATTGCTTTTGCATAATTCAAACGGAGTAAATCATAAATTAAATTTGACTTTTTTTTTTTTAATTCCAAGGCAAAAGCTTACAAACATCTCGAGGACATGGGATAAGATAAATAAAAGTAGAAAGATTAAATTAAAATGAACATTAATTACACTAATCGATGCGTAATTTTGTCATATATTTCTAAATTGATACCACTTTAGGTAATATTTAAATGTTTATCCAACGCCTCGGGAACGTTCGTTAGTAAGATCCTAACTACAATAGTATTCCCTCAATTTGTAAGAATTATTACTGCTTGAACAATGATCAATTAATGTTACTATGCAAGGATTCTAGTGATCTCATTTTGTATCTAATTTCCAATTTGTTATTACTCTTATTAAAGTTTGAAAGGGGTCATATTGATAATTGAAAAGGTAGACTATGTTCTATTGGACTTATTTTTTAGTCTTTTAATTTAGTTTCATTCAATTTAATTCAGATACATTAGGTTCCTAATTTTTCAATTATTAAACTATAAGTACCAATCTATCTAAGAAGGAACTATGATGGACAATTACAAGTATTTGGCTCAAAATTAGTAATTTTTGAAGGATAAACCAATTTAATTGGCAAATGAAGATTCATATCACCACTTCATACTCCATTATGATATACTATGTACAATCCTTATTTCTAGCCTGGTCTTAAAAAGGTGCAAATTTAGGCAATCCAAAAAATACATTTTTATTTTGACATTTGAACCTAGGTTGAAAATTCCGCTTTAACCCAACAAACTCGACATTTTTTGCGAATTTGGGCATAGAGTTTATGCCATGGCCCGGGCCAGCCCAAAATTTAATCTCTTCTACATGCACTATTCACAATTCGCACAAAAAACAAAGTTCGCAAACTAATTTGGTGGCAAGGATTGTACCTTCTAATCTTGAGGTTGGGGTTCAATCCCACTAGGAACACTTTAAGGGTGAAGATCTCTTTACCCTTCCCCTCACTTTTAAAATATCTGACCCGCAAATACCGTTGAGGTACAGTACGGGTCCTTCTCCTTATTTAAAGTTAGCAAATCGGGCAAACCCCACAAAAGCATGAACTCAGCACATACGTGGGACTCAACCGAGCTAACTCGGAACTCATAAACTCAGTTTATTTTTCTCCCAACTTCTATTCTATTCATCTACTACCGCTGAAACAGGCAGCCATTGCCAAACCCAAAGAAAGGCGCCTCCTTTTTGCATCCTCCTTCAGTACAAGAAAAAATTTGGGAAGAAATATACAGATTTTTTTTTATGGGTAAAGGAGAAAAAACAGGGCTAGGAAGAGCCCTAGTTAAGCACCATAATCATGTTGTTCAACAAACCAAAGAAAAAGGTCGCTTTTACAAAACCCATAACAAGAAAGCCCTAATCTCTGTTACTGATGTTTCCGACATTGATGCTGTTCTTGAACAAGCTGATGAAGCTGACCGTGTCTTCACCGCTGACAACCCTGTTCCTCAATTACTCGTTGATTCGTATGTCCTTCCTCTCTTTATTAATTTAATTTTCCTGTTTTTATCATATTTGTTTTAATTTTGTGTTTTTTCATGTTGATGGTGTAATTAGGGATTTGAAAATAATGTTTTTTTTCCATTTGGATTTAAGGGTTTTTAGGAAAGATAAAATTTTGATGTTTATTGGGGATTTTCTGATATGGGTTAAAGGGTTTTTGGGAAAGATAGAATTTTTATTTATTGGGGATTTTTGGGACGTTAACTGCTGAAATTTATGTTTTTCTTGAACTAATTTGTATCGGTAAATAAAGTTTATGGCATTTCTGGTTTAGGTGGAAATGTTGTAAGTTTGATGAGCTAGGTTTGAAGTGCAGAAAGAACAATTTCTTTGTCTTTTGAATGCATATTAGGTTAGGTAGAAGATAAGCTCCTTATCAATTGATTTGACTAATAAATCGTAGTAACTCGCGAATATTTGTGGGGATAGGGGATGACGGGATGTGGATAGTTTGTAGGTATAGTGTTGATTTGTAGCCCATCTAGGTGTGGTTCAGAGCTTCTGGTAATTTTGAATGAGGGATTAAAAGTGTTTGCGTTGTTGAAGTAGCTCGATTTCAGCTTGTTCTCTTTGAATTATTATTGAATGGATTCCTTCTGGTAATCAGTACAGGTGCTGTTCTCCTCAATGTTATATGGTTGATATCTGTCATGCATAGGTGTCAATTACTGGTAATGAAATGAATTGATTGTTGTTAGTGGTGACTTTTTACCTAGGACATTCACTTGGGACAATCCGTGTCAAAATATACACACAAATTGATCAATGAATGTCACTGCCTCCCGGATATGAGGCCTTACGGAAGTTATAGTATTCAGAATCAGGAACACTTGAGTTTTCAACTCTTGAAAATTTTCTATTAATTTTATTGATTTTTTCTACTGTCATTTCTAGTATGCTCACTACTACTGCTATTGTCTAGTATGTTGAGGTCAGCCTTGTGGAAAAGCTGCTTTGCTGATCTATCTTTGAATTGCATTCATGTCGCACTAATATCTTTTGGTTTTCCAATGATGGATCATATTATTTTTTCTGTATGTAGGGACTCTAGTTCAAGCATCACTGCCTTGACACCTGATCAAATGAGGAAGCAACAGAAGAAAGAGGAGGAACTGCATGCTGGCAGCCTTCGTGTCCCTCGAAGGCAACTACTGTCACCTACCTCGGAATAATTTTTTTTGTTCTTATTCATGATTGAGTTTAAGTGAGCTTTGTTTTTCCTCTGTAGGCCGCCATGGACTGCTGAGATGACAGTAGATGAGCTTGATATCAATGAAAAGCAAGCCTTTTTAACATGGCGTAGAGGCCTTGCCAAGTAAGTTCCATTTTAGTATTTATTGTGCTTCTGCTTGAAGTCTGTAATTAGATCAATAGATGTCATATTCCTATTGTATAGTTAAAATTTCACCTAGCAAAAGAAGGGAATAATGTCTTTTCCATATCTTTGAAAATGCTCAGTACGTGTAATATATATTCTTCCACTGAACCATCTCTTGCATGATGTACTTTGTTCAAACTAATCTGCCCCATGTTAAATGTGCTTTACAGCCTAAAATGCATAGGAACTTTCATTTATCAAATTGCATAATAGATGCGAATTGAGTGTATCCAATATGCCTAGGATTCATATTATGTTCAGAAAATCATTCTCTTTGTTCAACTAGCCAGGTGAAGACCTCGTTGATATAAGCTTTAAGGTTGATTTAGAAAATGCTCTACATTTTGAACCAGGTTCTCTTTCTCTTTGCCTTGTTCACCCTCCCCTGCCTTGTTTTTTTAAACAAGAAACTGACTTGATGCCCCTGAATTTTATCATATATCTTTTCCTTAAATTTTTAAGCCCTTCATCCCAATCCCTTCTAGAGTGCATCATTGCTGGTGTCCTGGAGAGTGAAAGAGAGATGCCGGAGAAGAGGTTGAGTTTGGTGCTGGAATGAAGGAAGCTGGACAGAAGAGAAGCAAGTTTGGGGATGGGGAGTGGGGAGTTAGGTGGGGAGGGTGTTAGGGTAAGAGGCATAAGTTGAGGCTGAGGAGCTAAAAGCAGAAGGGAAGAGAAGTCTAGTGGGGGCTGGGGAGTGAGAAGTGGAGGTTTCGAAGGGAAGAAAAAGAAGAAGTTGGGGGTTGTGAGAAGTATGTTGAATAAGGGAAGCCAGGTTGAGGTTCGTGTGGGTTGGAAGAAAAGGTTAGATTGGAACATTAATGGTGAAGGTTTGGTTTGGGTTAAGGAGTTATGAGGGTTATTAATGAGTAAGGCATGTAAGGCCGTAAGGGTGACTTTCAACATACAACTAAGAGGTTAGGGGTGAGGCGAAGGTCAAGTAAGGACGGCAAGGTTAGATAAGGACATATATGATAAAGGTAAGGGTTAAGGATTAGATAAAGCCACTAGTAGTTATGGGTGGTTTTGACTCCTTTTGAGTACGAAGCACTCAATCCTTGGCTTTTTGTTGTTGGGGATATGAATGACATAATAAGTCAGTCAAACTATGTTGAGCAAGCTATTTAAATATAGAAGTATTTTTTAAGTTTATTTTCAGAGGACCATGTGGTAGTTCCTTGTGAGATTCTGTTATATAAAGGATCTTCAGGGAGTATTCTATCAACAGTATAAATTATGGTCGTTTGTTTTTGTAGTTAAAGCCAACTTCTTGTCGCTGGAACATTTCTTGCTGCACTGTGGTTGTACTTTGATTAAATTGATGGAGTATGTAACTAATATTTGTGGAAATAATCTTGTAGACTTGAGGAGAATGAGAAGCTTGTCCTTACTCCATTTGAGAAGAATTTGGATATATGGAGGCAGCTTTGGCGAGTGGTTGAACGTAGTGATCTGGTAAGTGTGTTATAAGTGTCAAAGCTTGCTTGGGAAAAAAAAAAAAAAAAAAATTGGTATTCGAATCTTCATTAAATGATTTTTTTTCTTTTTGTGGTCATATAATGTGGGTTTCTTTGTAATATTTTATGGTTTGTTTTTCAACGTTATTTGACCTACTGATTTTTTAATTGCTGTCAGATTGTTATGGTCGTCGATGCTAGAAACCCTCTGTTTTACCGTTGTCCCGATCTTGAGGTATCATACCTTCACTACTGAACTGTTTGTGTGTACTTATCATGAGCTATTTGTGCCCACTTTCTGATTTTTATATTTTGCTAAATGTCCCTTCCAAAAAAAAAAAATTTGCTTAATGTATTTTTTTTTTATTTTTTGTGCTTTAGGCATATGTGCAGGAGGTTGATGAGCACAAAAGAACAATGCTGCTTATCAACAAGGCTGACCTTTTACCATATTCTATCAGGTTCTTACCTCATAAATTTTGGTGGGTTTTGTGCCCTTGTTGCATTTCTGATTATAAATGGTCTCGTTATCATGTACAGGCTAAAATGGGCAAAATACTTCCATGATCATGGAATACTCTTTGTATTTTGGTCAGCTAAAGCTGCTTCTGCAGCTCTTGAAGGGAAGATGCTTAGCATTCCAAAGCATATGCAAGAAGATACATTGCAAGAATCAGAAGATGTTGATACAAAGATCTATGGCAGGGATGAACTGTTGGCCCGCTTACAGTTTGAGGCAGAGGAGATTATGAGATTGAGGAAATCAAGCCCTGAAGCTGCAAGTTCCTCTCATTTTCACTCCTCAGTTGGAAATGCCGGAGTGAGTTCAGCATCAATTGGCGTGACTGTGGGATTTGTTGGCTACCCTAATGTAGGAAAGAGTTCAACCATCAATGCTTTGGTAGGAGCAAAGCGTGCAGGTGTCACCAATACTCCAGGGAAGACAAAACATTTCCAGACTTTGATAATATCTGACAAGCTTACTTTATGTGATTGCCCTGGACTTGTTTTCCCGTCCTTTACAAGCTCGCGATATGAGATGATTGCTTGTGGGGTTTTACCTATAGATCGAATGACTGCACACCGAGATGCGGTACAGGTGGTTGCAGATAAAGTCCCAAGACATGTAATTGAAGAAGTTTATAAGATCACTTTGCCGAAACCCAAGCCTTATGAGCCTCAGTCTCGCCCTCCATTAGCAGCAGAGCTTTTAAGAGCTTACTGTGCTTCTCGGGGGTATACATCTTCAAGTGGGCTGCCCGATGAAACTCGGGCTTCTCGTCAAATGTTGAAGGACTATATTGATGGAAAGCTTATGCACTATGAGCTACCTCCTGGGGTGTCAGACGAGAACAGAGAGAAACATATAGCTGCTACTGCTTCGAGCTTGTCAGACATCGAAGAATCTGAATCCTCTGATGCAGAAGATTCATCTGTTGAATTTGAAAATGGACCGAATCTTCAAGATGTAATGGATGATCTTCAATCCTTTGATCTTGCAAACGGCCTAGCCACAGATAAAGCTAATGGAAAGAAAAAGCCTCCAAAAGCACCACACAAGCTCCATAAAAAGCCACAGAGAAAAAAGGATCGATCTTGGAGGGTTACAAATGATGGTGGTGATGGGATGCCATTGGCAAGGGCCTTCCAGAAGCCGGTGAATACTGGCCCGCATAATCCTTAATGTGAGGTAACTTTGAATGCCACGAATATAGTACAAGATCACTCTGGTTTTGAACTGCTTGTACTAAGTGCTTGCTACATCAGTCTCTTAACGGGACAGAAATGGACTTGTCGAGTTGTCGTGATGGGATTGCTCAGGGTAATAGTTTACTGCGACAGTCTAAAATGGTGACACAGATTGCCGTGGAAGTGTATGGTCTGTACGTAGTGTCAGCCTCGGATAACAGTGGTTATATTTTGTAGTTTTGACTCCCTTTCACACCTTAGAAACGATATAGTATTTCCTGGTTGCTTATTGCTCTTTAAAATTTGATTGTTCATGATTTATTTATGATTTAGCTGCAATCTTGAAAGCCAAAAGTAGAAGTTTCATGCATGCCATGGTCTATCTCTTGGATTTTTGTATGCTGCATTGCCAGATTTTCTGCTGATAGAGCGCGACCAAACAGAATTCAAAAAATTATAATGACAGCAAAAAATTATACGACCCTCACACAAGTCACAAACACATATTTGAATGTTGCAAATTACTCCGTATTTATGATCATATGTATCTTGTGACAGTTGGCCCTAAAAATCTGCCAAAACCCGAGCAATTTTCGGGCCAGACTTCATGTGATCGGGTTTAATATAAACCTCCGGCCCAAATCACCGCAAAGCTTACCAACACAATCGATCCTCCGATTGGCTTAGTCTCTTAGCGTCTTACTATGTTTATGACGAAATCTACAAATTTTGGGAAAGATAAGACAGCAACAATATACTCCGTAGTAACAGTAGTACTCCATGTGCATTTGCTCAACATGAAATATGTGGGCATGTAAGGGAAGAAAAGGAAGTGTGGTCCCAAGTCAATATTAGTGGGTTTAATTAAATGAATTGGAGAGAGAGGGAAGTACTTAAAATTAGATTAACTCTTCAAGTGGGGGAGAGGGTGACAATAAAGCAAACTCATTTCCCACCAACTTTACAGTTGTACAAGGTCACCCAATTTTCTGAAAATTTTAAAATTTTAACACTTTTTAAATTTAGTACCCCAATCCTCCTGGAACTGTTGCCTCCTTCAGCTGGTGCTCGGGTATAACTCATGCACACCGTCTCCGGTGTGTCAGGCGCCTGAAGTGGGGCTAGAGGAGGTGTCGTACACACAACGACCGGGGGATGAACTCCTCTTCATCATCATCGGAGTTAATTGGGGATGGGTTATGATAAAATTGAAGTTTATCCTTCGAAAATTCATAATCCTCACTAGTTAGCTCTGAATCAAATCCACCCTTACCATAGATTCGTGGGTCAATTTTTTTTTTTTTAAATTATTGAAATTAAAATTCATGGTAATCAAATCTGGGAATAAACTATCAAAAACGTACAAATACCCACACTACGAAGGAGAATTACACAAGGATAGATTTTAAGAAAGAGATTTCTACAGAAAAAAAAATCTGGAATTGTAGAACCAAATTTAGGGTTTATCAACGGAGGAGAGAGAAATACCAAATGAGTTTAAAAAAAAATAGGGTTTTTACTTTTATAAGGGTGGTGAGAAAATAGAGGTAGTTGGGGGAGATGGGAGTGAAATTAATGGTAGAAGAAAATTACAGAAGAAGATAGATGGAGAGGACATTATTTTGAACGAGGAGAGAGAAAACATTGACCAGAAGAGAGAAAAAGTGAAGTGATAGAGGAGAGAGAATAATTAGTGGGTTGGAGGGAGCTCTTAGGGGAAATAATACCGTGACATGGCTGGGCTATAAAAATTAAATAGAAAATAGAATGGGACAATTAATAAGGGGCATCCATTTATGGCAATTGGAGCAATAAAAAAGGGAGAGGGGGAGTAACAATGTAACATCCATGTGGGCAAGCAGCCATGCAGAACTCCACTTTGTACTCTGTAGACCCAGACAGACAATAAGCGAAAAGCCAAGATCAAACTCCATTTAATTTGCTTATCAAACTATGTACCACAATAGTACAATGTACGGATTATTAATTATTCTAGGAAAACTCCCATTATACTAGTAATATAGCATTACCTTTCTTACCATATGAGGCATATTCCCTGTATGTTTCAAATCTTGCAAAAAAACATTTGTTTAACAAATGCCAAAATATTATCACTTTGTAAATATACTTCCAAGTTTGTAGTTCGTAGTTAAATTAAACTTTATAAGGTAATCTAACACTATTTATATACAAAGATATCCTTGATTATTATAGTAAATAAAGATTGAATTAAAGTCGTTAATTAATTTTGATAATAATCTACAAAAGTTTCAGCTGGCTGTTACAGTATCCCCCAATAGGGTAAACATAATGTTTCTATAGATTAATGCAGCTAAACAGGAGGTAAAATGTTGTAAAAAGTTCAGTTTCATTTTGATCTCTTTCAAAGTTCATTTCTTTAATCGTCTGCTCAATTAAGTATTTCACAATTTGATAGAGAGGAATGATTAAAAAACAGGTAGTCCTGTTCGTTTAGTTCGTTTCCCAAGATCGATCTTACATTAACATTCCCTACTAAGTGTCTGACTAAATACAAAAATTTCACACAAAATTCCTCTTGCCATCATACAAATGCCAAGAATAAACCAAGCCCTCAAGGTAATCTAATTCAAAAAAAACACAAATTCAGTACAAAAACCTATGGCTTATAATCCTAGTAGGTGAAACTAAGTAGGTTTCCTCATGTTACGCCCAGCACGAATTACTTCATCAACAAGCAACAACTGAGATGCAATTACAGGCCTGCAATAACCAGATAAGCAATCAGCTAAAAAAAATAAAAGGAAGCAAAGACATGCTTTTCAATATAAAAAGGAAAGAGAGATGGATATACCCTGAGTTTAAAATTTGGCGCTTCACAGAATAGTTATCAAATATACCCTCCATCTGTGGGTCAATGGGCTCCCCAGTGTGCTGATTCAATCCCACGACATTTCCTCGATCATGCTCTCCCTGGAACAAATGGGACATAAATCCATTTAGTTGCTCTATTTTGAGTCATCAACTTGTCATAAACTAACTAAATTAGCTGCAAGCAAACAAACATGAGGCTAGGATACCTTAAGGGAAATAATCACATCTTGCGTATCAAGACCAGCATTTTCAGCGAGGGTCTTGGGGATCACCAGAAGAGCATCAGCAAATGCTTCCACACCGAGTTGGGCACGCTGTACACAATAAATAAAATAATAAGATAAGATGTGGAAGACTTAGGGGAGTTTAATCTACTCAAGATATTGTCAGCCTAATTATATTACCCCTTGTACAGTTTTCATAACTTCATTAACAAGATGTTGCCTTGCTGCAACCTCAAAAGCTCCAGCTCCCTAAAAGACAAGGAACCATATTATTCCAAGTAAGAAGTGTGCATTTAGTAAGGTATAACAAGGTAAGAACCATGACTGCGCAGAATCATATTGCTAATGCTCAATACAGAGTTTCCAGGTAAAATGGGCATGACTGCTAAAAACATACCAATATGACAGATTCATCTTCAATGGTGTTTTTTACCCCCCTGAGACCATCACGAACAGCATCCTTTATCTGGGCAATGGTATGGTCATTGGGACCTGTTGGTGTGAAACAACAGGAAGAAAAAGTTGAAAATTAAAACTAATTAATAACTAGTTCAAGAATCATGCAAAAACCAACAACATAAAAGCAGTAGTTTATAGGATAGAACAAAATCAATTGGATGGATGAGATGAAGGGATATCACAAACCTTTGATAAGAATTGTACAAGAATGAGGGTTCCTGACATTTTCAACAAATGTGTACTTCTCTTCTCCAAGGACATGTTCATACACCAATCCAGCCCATCCAAGGACATCTGGTGTCATATCATCAACTGAATTAACTGCATCCCCTCCACAAGCCAAGATCAACCTTTCCATGTTCCTTCTCTTTGCTCTACGAAGGGCGATTATCTACCAAAATAAAAGTATGTAAGAAACATTCTACACAACTAGGCCACCTACAAAACAGTGAGGTGGAAAAGAACTGAACACTAGCCTTGAAAGCCAGCAATGAAAGAGCACCAGGAATAAAAAGAGACTGCCGGGGGGGGGGGGGGGGTGTCTTAATTGTCTGCCTAACGAAGGTAATAAGTTCTTAAACCCTAATCCTAATCAGTGAAAGTAGCCAGTAGAGGTCCTATGACATGCATAATCCTACAAAACAGAAGTCTATGCATAGATTTTGCCAGGGAACAACTGGAATAAAGGCAGCATTTTATAATGAATCTGATCCGTGTAGAGAGAAAACCTTGAGTTAGAACGTTAGCCACAATTCTCACAAAATTCTATCTGATTTTACAGCTACAGCAAGTTTAGATTACACGAAAAGAAACAAATAAGCAAATTCAAATGGTGAGAAAACTTACTCCTTCCCTTGCCAGCATATCCAGAGAAGGGGGGTCGATTCCTTTTTGATTAATGACTACAAAGTTATTCTCAGTTCCTGCACAAACCTACAATCAACAATAAATGTAAATTACATAACCAAATCCTTTATGGATGACAGCAAGAAAAAGCATCCAGGAGCCAGGATACTTCTTTTCTGCTACAAAGAATTGATGCCAGTGTGCCACCAAAGGCAACTTGCCATTAACAAGTGTATTTTAAAAAAAATAAAAAATTAAAAATTAAAAAAAAGAAGCAAGAAAGACAGAAAAGCAGATTAGACATCAAGAGTATTACCTTATTCTTCAGTTCAACGATTTTCCTCACTCTCTCATCGACAGAGCGCCTTTCAGCAGCAACCATAGCCTCCCTCTGCTCTGCATTTGAGTAGAAGAAGCCTGCATTTACTTCACTGCATACAACACAATTTTCATGTTACAATCTAAGAGATACAATAAATTGCCTTATCAACATAAACAAAAACAAAAAATTTATAACATCTTCTGCTTGAATACATAGATAAAGGCAGCTATTGCAATCACGTTAATTCTTAGTACAATACATAGTATTAGTCAACCTAGAGCCTTAAGAATTTGACCAGAAAATTGCTTAGTACAGTATTAATCACCCTAGAGCCTTAAGAAAACGACTAAAAAAGACTTTTAGACAGTAGTACTTTTAAGTGCACTGTGCAGAATGCTGTTGGCAAGTTTTTGTATTTGGATTATAATAATTTGAACAAAATGTCGAGCAAGATTGCCCATTTGCTCCTTGCTTTTGTAATAAGACTACATGAACCTAGCAGTCCCCCGGCCCTTCTTTTCTCTCACATACAATTTAAAGAAAAAAGGGTTAGGTAGGCATCAATTAAGTAATCAAAATCCTCTGATATAGCCAAATTTCAGAGCAGCAATGAGCAAGGCACACTGTTACCAAGTGGCAGTTTTAGAGTCAGACTATATTGGCTTT